GCGGAAGACCCATTTCCCGGTAAGGATGGTTTTGTTCCGTGCCACGCTTACGGGAACAACCTTCCAAGTGTTGCGTTCCTCTAATGCCTTCAGTTCTCTATCCATGGCTTCACGCCATTTCTCCCTGTGTTCCCCCCCCAGAGCCTGCTGAACCGTTGCAGGCTCCTGAGGAAGCGAGTTGCGTGTGTTCCCGTGGACTGCGGTGACGAGGCCGAGGATTTGCAGCCCAGTCTGTGAGTATCGAGGGAGTTCTGGATCCTCGGGATAAGCTGCTTCGTCTCCCGCTTCTGGATCAGGGATGAAATTCGGTCCTATCCTTTCTGCTTCATTTGTGTTGACGGTTGCAGGTGTTACGTAACCGGTGTCGGCGAAGTGGTAGAAGACTTCGGCGTTGTTACTGTCGCGAGGATTTTCTTCGTCCATGGGCACGTTGACGGAGCAGTACGGGAGAGGTCCGGCTTCTGCCGATGCGTTGTCAACATTCTGCTCGTCCCAGTCTGCTTCATCCGCTGCTGATGCGAAGGCTCGGTCACCACGAAAACCACTGGTGAGGTCCCGATTCTCGTGCAAGTTGGCGAGGTACGTCTGAAGGGTGAGTCTTTCGTAGAAGATCACGTCACGTGCTGCTACTGTTTCCTTTGTGTGGACGTCGAAGATTCTCCATGCGTTGTAATTTTTCTCGATGCCGAGGTGTAGTCCCCACTGTGCCCGTTGCGAAAATCTTCCCGCTCGTGCTTCTGGGGGTCTGTACTGTACCATGCACCCGAAAACTCGTAACATTTTCGTGCTGCCCTGCTTCCCTGTCCACAGCAGATGCGGTGATGCGTTGTTCGGGAGTGACGACGACGACAACAAGTTGTGCAGCATGACAGCGTGGTCCATTGCTGCTGGCCACTGGTGGTTGGGTAGCCGCATGCCACGTAACAGTTTGCGCATGCTGTTCTGCAGGGTCCTGTTCAGTCGTTCTGCAACACCTTGCTGCTGATGTGCGTAGGGAAGGGAGAGGAGTTGCTTGATCCCCCTTTCCGCCAAGAACTGCTTGAAGCGGTGAGAGGTGTACTCGCCACCTCCGTCTGACTGGAAATTTTTTAGTTGTGTTCCAGACTCTCTCTCTGCTATCGGTAGCCAGGCGGCGAATGCTGCGAGTGCCATGTCGCGGCTGGGTAGGTTGCGATGCCAGACGTATCGAGTGGCGGCGTCGATGAAGGTGATGGTGTAGTTGTAGTTGACTTGTCCTGGTTCGCGATTGTAGAGGATGTCGCTGTAGACTTTTTCGAGTGGTGCGTACGCTGGAGCGCTCGGGTTGTGATGTGAAGCAAACGGTCGATGAGGTAAGTCAGCTTCGGGACATATAAGGCAAGTCCCTCGTGCCTTCTGGAGTTCTCTGCCATCGGGTAGAAGTAGAGAATCTTTGTCAAGGACTCCTGCTCTTATCGTGTTATTCAAAACCGTGTTGCTTGGATGTCCTGTTCGTGCGTGCCAGATCTCTTCAGAGGCGCGGTGTCCAGGTGAACGCTGATATGCGTCGGAGTTGGAGTAAAAGTTGGCGACGAGGTTGGCGCTTCGGTGGACTTCACGTTGAGTCGGATTCAGCTGTTGTGCGGGTGTTGGTGGTGCTTCGTTGACTGTGACTGGTGTCGTTGTTTCTGCTGCTGCTGATGTTGTTGCTGCTGCCGATGTTGTTACTGCTGCCGATGTTGTTGCTGCTGATGTCGATGTTGTTACTGCTGCCGATGTTGTTGCTGCTGATGTCGATGTTGTTACTGCTGCCGATTGTCGAATTGTTGCTAATGCTCGTGTTCGTTCTGCTTCAGGAATGGTGTGCGAGTACCAGAAGCCTCCCGGGCTGAAGTCGGGGTCGAGATCCGGAGGGTGTGTCCAATCAGTGAAATTCACGATGGCGTCGCTGTCTGCAGTGCCGAGGTCAGGAACGAAGTCGAGGACGAAGACGTTGTTCTTCAGCACTGCTTTTCCGATGTAGAGACCGCCTCTCCCGTGGTAAAGCTTGAACTCCTGGGTCGTGCTGTCGGCTTCCAGATGAATTCCTTTCGCCATCAACTGGCTAACGCTCAGTAAGTTGTAGCCGAGTCCTTCAGCGATGAGTACCTTAGACATGTGCAGTATGACGTTTGTTTCTCTTGACTGAAGTTGTACCACTCCTTGTCTTCGTGTGCGCAGGTTTTGGTTGTTGGCAACCGTGATGATTACTTCCCGTTGGAGTCGATGTTCGCGTTGTACGAAACGCCCGGACGAGCACATGTGTTGCCCGCAGCAACTGTCCAAGAACCAGGTGTCTTGGCCGGACGGTTCACTTTGAGCGATGGCGGCGTACGTTGGATTCGGCTGGAGTAGCTCACGGCGAGGCGTTCTGTTGTCAAGCTCTTCTTCCGGTGAGTAGTGTGGTGGTGATTCGGTTGTACACGAATCGGTTATCTTCGTCATGCAGTTGATTATGTTTCTTGCTCCTCGTGCAGGTTGTGAAGTCGTTGAAGCTTGAATAGTGGTCGTCGCACTTGCTTGTGTTGAAGCCATTTGGGAGCTTGAAGGTCGAAGTTGTCGCTGTGATGCCGTTGATTGCTGACGATTCGGGCAGTGTGTGCGCGGGTGCCCTGAAGTCTTGCAGATGTGGCAGAAAGGAGGTACTATCTTCGGTTGCTGCTGTCGGTTGTTATAATTGCTGTGTCGTCGTTGAGTGTGGAATGCGAACTCTGATACTGTCGTTTTCTTCCTGTGTCGTTCTTCCTGCAGGTCCATATCTTGTTGCTCGGCATGTATTTCGGCGCAGAGTGCAGCTTCAGAGATTCTTCCGTGGGCTCGAAGAATGGCTTTGGTGGCGCGCCACTGAGGACCAAGCCCACCAATGATGACTGTCACGAAGGCGTCTTCAGAGATTGACCCTCCGCATCGAAGCAGCTTGTCGCGTAGTTCGCGACATCGGCTGATATACGCCAGTCCTTTTTCTCCTGGTTTCATTTCAACTGTCGTCAACTGCGCCATTAACCTGCTCTGGTTTACACTGTCTGTTGCTTGATACAGGTTCTTCAGATGGCTGTACGCGAGCTCCGCCGAGTTGCCGAAGGTCCGGTAAGAGCGAATGTTCTGCTGCTGAGTTGGTGTCACGTTCCTCAATAGGATTGTATACGCCATCATTGATTGATACGTATACTGCTGCTTTTCATATTGTGTCCCGTTGGCTGGATACTGCAGGGACCCGTCGAAGAAGCCGAGTATCTGCGCGCCCTCCATCATCAGCTCGAATTCAAAGGACCAGGTAAAGAAGTCTTTGCCGTCGAAGGGTCTTGACGTTTGCAGTTTTAAGACGTGTGCAAACTGCGACTGAACTTGAAGTGCGTCCAGTGGTCTTTCTTGTCCAGGTGAAGGTTGCGGGTGGGGCACGAAGCTGATTGACCCGCGCTCGTACGGAGCAAAGGTAGGTTGCTGCTGCTGGTTTCCTCGCGCATATGACGACCCATCAAGACTCATGGGTGTCGCTCCATTGTTGCTGTTGTGTGTTTGTGCAGGTCCCGACTGCTGGTGTTGTTCGTAGAAGGACATGAAGGAGAAAAATTTCTCCATCATGTTCTGGTCAAAGTCCGAAGGGTGGTTCATGGGGGTTTCGGTTGACGTTCCTCTTGGTCTTGTTGCCGTGCCTTCTTCTGTCTGCAGGCCAGAGGCTGGCGGTGGAGTAGGAGTAGTGCCCGAGGAGCCATTAGGGGAGCTCCTTTCCTTGTTTGTTGCCATGTCTTGTAATGATCTTGAAAAAGGAGTAGAGTTTCCCTTGTCAGCTCTCATACCATGTTGGGCTGAGATAGCCCCTTAGGATCTTTGCAAGGGATAACTCTAGGTGAAGTAGTTGTAATAGCGGAAGCGTTTAGTGAAGAATTTGAACCGACCTTGCACTGGTGTGTGAGAGCAAAGTTGATTGAATTAAACAAGCAAATACAAGGATTTATATAAGAGTACAGGGAATACGAATAGATATGTAGATAACTGTATTGCTGTTGCGGTTCGATACAGTGCGACTCGGGCAACTGCTCTGTAGCGAGTCAGTTGTGTGTCCTTAACTGTCGCGCTGTAATTGTCGAGTCAAAGGTCAGCGACCTTTGACTTTCTCGTAACCTCCAGGCGGTTACCCTAACCTCCGAGGTTGACTCGATGCTCCGATTGGGACTGCTTCGCTTGGTGCCTTGGGTTTTGATACGACAGAAGCGCACTTAGGACTTATTGTTTCCAACAGCCTTAACGGGTACAGCCCGAGCACTTCGCGTCAGGTGGCTCGGCCTACACTTCCGCACCGAACCAAGGCCGAGTCGCCCCGCACCAACCGCGACACATCCAACCCATCCACGTCCCGAGGTCCTCGCCTAGCACGGTTTCGACCCTATCAATGCGTGCTCCTTTATCATTCTTGATAATTCAGTAATTCTGTAATCACGGTCTCTTTATAGAAGTCTTCCGCGCACTCTGTTTAGTAAAACTCATAACAAGTTTGGTGAACGAAGCCACTCAACCGAAGTCAACGCGAGAATTTTTTGGTTTGGAAGGCAGGTCCGGATAGGTTGCGAGACCTTCGTCTTCACGAAATCATTTCCCGAAAGAAGTCTTTCGCAATTCGTGGGGCAATTCCTTCACGGAGCCATTTTGCGAGACCCTCGTGTCAACTCGTTTGTTTACTGTTTATGGATCGTGGCTGAGGACGGTTCCATACTTTCTAAATCGGTGTTTTTGATATCATCGTACCTAACCGTGACAGTATGAGCAGGGTGAAAAAAACATGTGTGTTAACTACCAGGTTAGAACATCATTGTCTAGTCTACATTTTCAGGCTAGTATAGCTAGGTATAACTAGTGAGACCAGAGCTTCCACGAGCATTCATTTAGGCAGGTACGAGCATACTATTAGTTAGGGCCTGGGCGTTTATAGGAATTGTGGGTCGCTCCATAGTTAAACTCTAACCCCGACCAGAATTCGTAACAGTCAGACGCGACACACCATTCTGATGGGGGGAGCAACGGGGGAGGACGGGCCTAAGTATGAAACGGCGCACGAAGCGGGGGGGAACTCAGGGAGCGGGGCGACAGCGCATGGGGCGGGGGAGAACGCGGGGAGCGGAGCAACAGCGCACAATGCGGGAAAGGAGGGGGGTGAGGCGGCAACAGCGCACGAGACGGGGGAGGAGCGGGGCGAGATTGCGACAGTGCACGGGACGATGAGGGAGGGGATGGCGGTGCTGATTGACGTGAACGGCGAAAAGGCGTCTTTCGCCATGCTGCAGCGAAACAGGTGCGTCTTTCGCCATGCTGCAGCGAAACAGGTGCGTCTTTCGCCATGCTGCAGCGCAACAGGTGCGCCTCGCAGGTTCTCTTCCCCTCATTCGCCGCCTCTACTGCCCCACCACACCACCCCCCATATTCTCTCCTCCTCCCTTTGTCCACCCTCCCCCTTTTCTTCGCTCCTTCCTCCTGTTTTCTTCTGATCCCCGCTGTCCCACCTCCCTGCACTCCCTTTTTTCCCGTCATCCCAAACCTCTCGTAAACCCCTATCCCCCTAGCCCCCATTATCCCCCTTCCCCCTTTCTCAGTCTTCCACCCTCCCCGCGCCCCTCTCCCTCCCAGAACCGCACGGGTGGGCAAGCAGCAGTGCTCCCTCGCGCCCCTCATAGGCTGCCCCTATCGTCTATCCCTCTTCCCCCCTTCATCATCTCTTCTTCCCGTGCCAACTCTTCCCCCTTTCCCCATTCTCCCCTCCTCCCCTCCCCGCGCCCCCCTCTCCGCCCAGAACTGTGCGGGTGGGCAAGCAGCAGTGCTCCCTCGCGCCCCTCATAGGCTGCGCCTATCGTGTTTCCTTCGTCTCCCCTTCATCCTCTCTTCTTCCCCTGCCAACTTTTCCCATTTCTCCCTTCCCCCATTCCCACCTCTCTGCCTCCCCCCTCCCCATCCTCCCCTCCCCACCCCCCTCTCCTCCTCCCCAGCACCGTGCGAGTGGGCAAGCAGCACTGCTCCCTCGCGCCCCTCCTCAGCTGCCCCTTTTGCTTCCCCCCACTCCCCCCGCCCCTCTTCCCCTCTTCCCCCCAGCACCGTGCGAGTGGGCAAGCAGCAGTGCTCCCTTGCCCCCCTCATAGGCTGCCCCTTTGGGTCTGTCTTTGAGCTGCGCATGGGGGGAGAGGAGGGCGCAGGGGGGGGCGGGGGGGAGGGGGGAGGCGGAGAGGGGGAAGGCGGAGAGGGGAGCCAAGCGAAGGGCGCGGGAGGGGAGAAGGAGGATGATAAGGGCGATGGGGGGAAGGGCGGAAGGGGAAAATGGGGTGGACGGGTGGGAGGAAGAGGTGGAGGGGGGAGGGGAGGGGGGAGAGGAGGAAGGAGGCCGCAGCTGGTGCGAGTGTCAAAGGAGCAACTGAGGGAAGGTGAGTTACTGAATAAGTGAAGCAGGGAGGGACGGAGGGCGAGGGGGAGGGAGAAGAGGCCCTCTCTCCTCTCCTGCTCTTTCACACCAAACCAGAGTTTTGAAACGTCTGGCGACCGCTTTTGCACCCAGCACCCAATGAATGAAGGATTGATCCCATCCGAAACATGTTTGCCGCGTTTTAGTCTCTTAGTGGAGCCAAGGTTTGGGCTTCAATTCTCGGTTCTCTGACACCTTCACGCACTGCTCTCAATCTTATGCTAAAGATTCGTCTGAAACGCTTCTCGCGCAGTCTACATGCCTGACGCACCAAGCACTCACTGTTTGTATGTGCCCTGACTGACCACCGCTTCTCTATCGTTCCAGATTCTCTTGCTGCCATTGGGGAGGTAGACGCTGCTGCTGGTGATACTGCTGCCACCGCTGCTGGTGATACTGCTGCCACCGCTGCTGGTGATACTGCTGCTGATGCTGCAAAGAGTGGAGAAGCAGAGATGGGTGCAGAGGGCAGCAGCGGGGGGGGGAAGGACAATCGCAATCTGATCGACGATAACACGGCGCAGAAGCTATCGGCTAATGAGATTGAAGCACTCAAGAGGTGACTGGCCAAACCAGAAGAAGCACACTCAACTCAACCAGCTTTCACCATTTTTTCGTTTGCGAAGCCTTTACATGTTTCCACTTTGTTCACCTTCCCAACCTTCTTCACAGTTTTCTTTACTTCAACTTTCTTTTCCTTTTCACCATGTCTACTGTTCATGTTCCAATTCTGGCTTGGTCACCTTTTCACCACTTGACCCTTTTCACCACTTGACCCTTTTCACCACTTGACCCTTTTCACCACTTGACCCTTGTCCCTGTGGCTCGCCACCGTGTGCGCGTGTGCAGGCAAGCAGCATCGGGCCATGAGGTGGTGCGGGCACTGGCGGCCAACAGCGTCTCCTTCCTCTCCAAAACCGACTTCGCCCAGGTCATGCTTCGCCCAGGTCATGCTTCGCCCAGGTCATGCCCGCCCGCTGCTGCTTGCTGCTCGCTGCTTGCTCCTACTTGCTGTCTGCTACTTTCCATTCCACTACCGACTCGCACTTCCTTCCACACCAAAACCTACTTCGCCCAGGTCATGCCTGCGCTGCGCCTGAATGCTCCTCCTCGCTGCGGGATACGTTCTTTCTCTACTTGCTCCTGCCTCCTTTCAACGCCCGCTTCTGCTCGCTCCTGTATGAATCTCACTCTCATCCCCTCTCCACACAAGAGGTATCTGAGGAAGAAGCAGAAAGAGCAGGCAAAACGCACTCTCGTGTGATTATCATTACATTACTGTGTCATCCTTCTCTCGCTTGAATCACCGAATCCCTTCGCGCTCCACAACAGGAGAAGTATCTGAGGAAGAAGCAGAAGAAGCACGCTCCCCGCCTGGTCGCCCGCTTTCCCACAGCTGACAGGTCTCTCTGCCTAGCCTAACCACCATGCCTCTCTGCCTAGCCTACCCACCATGCCTCTCTGCCTAGCCTACCCACCATGCCTCTCTGCCTAGCCTACCCACCATGCCTCTCTGCCTAGCCTACCCACCATGCCTCTCTGCCCAGCCGCGATGCCTCTCCAGCCATGTTTGCAACCATGCAACATCCACCCACGTTCTTCACTTCTACATGCCCATGTCTGCATGACTCTAACACTCATATGCGTACACCCCAATATCATGAGCTGTGTACAGCATTGTATCGTGCACTGAACTGAACATCGCTGTTTTCTGTCATATCGTTTACACGGTTTCCCTACACGATGCATACACCACAAATAGTTTCTGTGGTCTCGGGACTGCCTGCATTCACAATACTCAGAAAAAAGTATTCACTGAACCTGTTCTAACCTCTCTTCCTTATCTTTCTCCTTCTCGTCGTGCCTCATCCTTGCTCCCACTGCACATCAGCGTGTGCGAAGCGTACTTCACCAAGGCGCCTGCCAGGATTGGGTGAGTGACAAGATGGCTTTTGAGAAATTTCAAGAGTGGATGAGTGAGAAGATGGCTTGCCTCCCAGAACAGTTTGGTTTCTCTAGCATGGCGTGATGGACAAAGCGGTGTGTAAAGCAGCATGAGACGCAGTGCACTCGACTCGGCAGCAGTGTATTTGCATACAGGCCAATGTATTTGCATACAGGCCAATGTATTTGCATACAGGCCAATGTATTTGCATACAGGCCAATGTATTTGCATACAGGCCAATGTATTTGCATACAGGCCAATGTATTTGCATACAGGCCAATGTATTTGCATACAGGCCAATGTATTTGCATACAGGCCAATGTATTTGCATACAGGCCAATGTATTTGCATACAGGCCAATGTATTTGCATACAGGCCAATGTATTTGCATACAGGCCAATGTATTTGCATACAGGCCAATGTATTTGCATACAGGCCAATGTATTTGCATACAGGCCAATGTATTTGCATACAGGCCAATGTATTTGCATACAGGCCAATGTATTTGCATACAGGCCAATGTATTTGCATACAGGCCAATGTATTTGCATACAGGCCAATGTATTTGCATACAGGCCAATGTATTTGCATACAGGCCAATGTATTTGCATACAGGCCAATGTATTTGCATACAGGCCAATGTATTTGCATACAGGCCAATGTATTTGCATACAGGCCAATGTATTTGCATACAGGCCAATGTATTTGCATACAGGCCAATGTATTTGCATACAGGCCAATGTATTTGCATACAGGCCAATGTATTTGCATACAGGCCAGTGTATTTGCATACAGGCCAGTGTATTTGCATACAGGCCAATGTATTTGCATACAGGCCAATGTATTTGCATACAGGCCAATGTATTTGCATACAGGCCAATGTATTTGCATACAGGCCAATGTATTTGCATACAGGCCAATGTATTTGCATACAGGCCAATGTATTTGCATACAGGCCAATGGCACAAAAACTAAGTCTTTCTGTCAAACGGATATGGATTGCGTACCGTGTGTGTGTATTATGGTTGTGCTGTGTTGCTTCACCTGTTGTCCTTTTTGTCCCATATACCACAGTCTCCTCTCTTGCCAGTGGTAGCATCGCCAGTTCTGCTAGCCACGCACGCTTGCACCTGCTGCTCCAGGCAACTCTTTCCCCTCCTCCGCCGCGCATTGCTCCCCGTCTTTCTCACTCTCCCCACCTATCTTTCTCACTCTCCCCACCTATCTTTCTCACTCTCCCCACCTATCTTTCTCACTCTCCCCACCTATCTTTCTTCTCTCCCCAACCATCTTTCTTCTCTCCCCACCTATCTTTCTTCTCTCCCCACCTATCTTTCTTCTCTCCCCACCCATCTTTCTTCTCTCCCCACCTATCTTTCTTCTCTCCCCACCTATCTTTCTTCTCTCCCCACCTATCTTTCTTCTCTCCCCACCTATCTTTCTTCTCTCCCCACTTATCTTTCTTCTCTCCCCGTGCGTGCCCTGCAGTTTCCTGCGCCCTGGCAGCCTGGCGATGTTACCAGGGCAACTTTTGAGAGGCACCTCAGAAGTCTGGCAATTCTGCTGACCACGGGCAATGTGTGCGCCCCCTCCCCTTGGACATGCTGCTTCAGGATAATCCTTCCCTTCCTCCACCCATTACCCTCCCTCCATCATTATTCTTTTTTGCAGTTCCCTCCGCCCCGACAGCCTGGCAATGCAGCTAGCAATGGCCAATGCGGGCACACGCACACTCACACGTGCTTCAGGCTAATCTTTTCCCCCCTCTCCACCCGTTGCTCCCCTCTCTCCCCATGTGTGCCCCGCAGTTTCCTCCGCCCTGACAGCCTGGCGATGCTGCTAGCCATGGCCAATGTGGGAGCGCACTCGCAGGTGCTGGTGCTGGACGGCACAGGGGGGCTCATCACGGCTGCTGCCGCGCAGAGGATGGGAGGCCACGGCGCCATCTGCAGCGCCTTCTATGCCTCGCATGTGTCCCACGCGCCCTCCATCGACATCATCCGCCATCTCAACCTCTCGCTGCCTGCTGCCGCCATGTATGTCAGTGCCACCCCTCCCTCACTGCTGCCGCTGCCATAACCTCTCCCTGCCCGCCGCTGCCATGTCAGTTGCTCTGTCGTGTGGAATGTAGTGTAACGTGGCATGTAACCTGCCTTGTATCGTGTCATGTGACATGTCCTGACAGCATCTACACTTCTTTCCTCGCCCACATCCCTCGCCTGCATGCCATGCCATGCCACATATCATGCCATGCCATGCCATGCCACATATCATGCCATGCCATGCCATGCCATGCACCCTCCACCATCACCATCCTTTGACACATCCTTAATACGGTCACTGATGCTCCCATGCGATCTGTTTGTCATTCTCACTGTTGTCCCCCCCTTGCCAGCATTCATCGAGCATCGGTGCAGCAGTTGCTGGATGCACACCACAGCTGGTCGCAGCAGCAGCAACAGAAGCAGGTCACTGCAGCAGCGGATGCGCCACAAACAGCAGAGGCGGTTGCACCCGTCGCAACATTGAACGATGCGGTGGCAGCAGCAGATGCAGTAGATGCCTCAGGAGCAACAGCAGCAGCAGCTGATGGAGAAACAGCTGGGGGCGGTGAAGGGGAGGAGGCTGAAGGGAGGCCTTGTAAGAGGCCCAAGGGGGCAGGGGACGACAGTGCTGCTCAGACCGGATCGGAGGGAGCAGCCGGTGCTGAGGAAGCGAGAAAAGCAGCAGACGGTGTAGATGGGTTGAATGCGGTAGCAGAGGCTCCAGCAGTGGAGAAGATGGAAGTAGAGGAGGCAGAGGGAGTGAGAAGTGGTGTGAGAGAGGGGAGAGAGGGCGGAGGGAGGAAGGGGATGCGGGAGGGGGAGGGGGAGGGGGAGGGGAAGAGCAGCCTGACGCGGGAGGAGCGGGGAGCACAGGGGGCATTGGGGCGGGTGGCGTCAAGTGAGGTCATGCAGCAGTGGCTGCAAGAGCATGGGGGCTTCAGTAGGTGAGCTTTGCAGATTGCCTTGCCTGTAAGGGCATGGGGCCCTGTAAGGGCATGGTGAGGTTGAAAAGGGGGGCCTGATGGGCGCATCTACTCTCAAGTCATGCAGCAGTGGCTGAAGGAACATTGCATCGCCTGTAAGGGCACGGCTTAGGACGGCTTCTAGTGACGACACTAGGCGGTGGACTAAGGAGCGTGCCGTGGGATTAAGAACGGCGCAGTGAGGGAATTGCAGTGTGGGCATTGAGACGAGTTCCAGCTATATCTTGTATGGGAAGCCATGGGGGGGAGGGTGTTTTTCTTGTATGAAAAACACCATAGCCATTGTGGGAAGCCATGGGGGGGAGGGTGACCCCTGGCGTCCTGTGGAGTGCAGGCATGAGGCAGTGATTGCTACACCACCTGCTATCACCTCCTTTTCTCTTCCTCTGCTACCCCTGTTGTGTCTTTTTGTTCTCGTCGAACCCTTCTTTATCATCCATCCTCTCATACCCGTGCATCTCCTCATGTCCCTCCTCTGTCTCTCTCCACGCATCTCTCCATCCCCTCCCCCTACCCCTCCCCGGTCTCATAGTGGCAGCGCCTGCTTGCTGCCCCTCTGCCTGCCATGTCCCCTCAATCCCATGCCTCAAACCCCTCTGTGCCCCACTCCTATTCACACCATTCCCCATGTCTCTCCGATGAATCTCCCCAGTCTCATAGTGGCAGCACCTGCTCTCTGCCCCTCTGCCGTGCTGCAGCAGCTGCTGCCGCTGCTGCAGCCATCTGCAGCGTTCGTGCTGCACCACACCACACTGCAGGTGAGTCGAGAGGTTGCAGGTGAGAGGGTGGAGAGCTGGTGGGGGGTATGAGAGTGGGTAGCAATCATTGACGCTCCTGCCTCGGCGCAGCCGTCTGCACCCTTGGTGCTGCACCACACCAGGCTGCGGGTGAGAAGGTGGAGAGCAGGGGAGGGGTTTTAGAGGCGAGGCGCCAAGACCCATGAATAGGTCACACACGCGCTGGTCGGATGAGACATGTCTCACGCCCCTGCTGCTGCTGCTGCAGCCATCCGCAGCCTTTGTGCTGCACCACACCATGCTGCAGGTTTGAGGGTGGAGAGAGAGCAGGTGGAGGGGAGAGAATAGGTGAGAGCACGAGAGAAGGTGAGGGGCGTGAGAGCACGAGAGAAGGTGAGGGGCGTGAGAGCACGAGAGAAGGTGAGGGGCGTGAGAGCACGAGAGAAGGTGAGGGGCGTGAGAGCACGAGAGAAGGTGAGGGGCGTGAGAGCACGAGAGAAGGTGAGGGGCGTGAGAGCACGAGAGAAGGTGAGGGGCGTGAGAGCACGAGAGAAGGTGAGGGGCGTGAGAGCACGAGAGAAGGTGAGGGGCGTGAGAGCACGAGAGAAGGTGAGGGGCGTGAGAGCACGAGAGAAGGTGAGGGGCGTGAGAGCACGAGAGAAGGTGAGGGGCGTGAGAGCACGAGAGAAGGTGAGGGGCGTGAGAGCACGAGAGAAGGTGAGGGGCGTGAGAGCACGAGAGAAGGTGAGGGGCGTGAGAGCATGCAGGTAGCACCATGCTGGTGGGTTGGCTGACGCTCCTGTTGCAGCCGTTGTTTGCAACTTGGCACGGGTCTTTGCGTTCGCCAATCCTCAGCAGAATTTGGGTCTTTTCTGCTGCACAGCCTCCCTCTCCCATTTGCTCTCTCCCCTATTATTTTCTCACTTCCGTTTTTGCTATCTGCATTCCTTGGCAGTGCGTCACTCTCCCCTAACCCACTCTCCCCTAACCCCACTCTCCCCTAACCCCACTCTCCCTTTCCCCCATCCCTCTCCCCCCTTATGCAACATGTCAACTAGCAGATGTGATTGGATCCTCTTTTGAGGCGCCTCAACTGTCACTCGCATCACGTGCGCTTGCTTTCCCTTGCCCCCCTTGCGCCCCGCACGCCTGCCCTTCTCCACCCCTGCAGCCACTACCAGAGGCGCTTTGGGCATCATATGAGGCGCCTCAGTAGTAGATGTATGATTGTTTTCTCAACCTTCACTCCTGCTTGCACCATACACGCCTACCTTTCCCCACCCCGGCAGCCGCTAGCAGAGGCAATGCGGGAAGCAAGGAGCAGCGCGGTGGCATTGGAGCTTAGCGAGCCATGGCTGAGAGAATACCAGGTGGGGGGAGGGATGAGAGAGGAGGGAGGTGAGACGAGGGAGGGTAGGAGTAGCAGGTGAGAGGAGGGAGAGAATGGTGAGGGGCGGTGACGGGAGGGAGGAAGTATTGGTGCCGCTGGGGCTGAGCGAGCCGTTGCTGAGAGAAAGAAAAGGTGAGGGGAGGGAGGGAATACCAGGTGAGGGGAGGGAGGGAGGGCGGAGGGGGGTGAGAACAGGGAGTGGCAGGTGAAAAGGGGCTTGTTAAAACAGGGATAGATGAAGGCATGGGAGCTCAGTGCGCCGTGGCATTGGAGCTTAGCGAGCCGTGGCTGAGAGAATACCAGGTGAGGGGAGGGAGAGAAAGGTAGGGAGGTGCGGGGAGGGAAGTGAGAACAGTGAGGTGAGAACAGGGAGTAGCAGGTGAGAGGAGGGAAGCTAGAACAGGGATTCGTTCAGCTATTCTATGCTTTGCTGTGCTATACAGTCTGCTCTCCCTCCCATGCTCCCCCTCCAGGTGCTGCCTCAGAGGACCCACCCCCACATGACCATGTCTGCCACGGGTGGTTACCTGCTCACGGGAATCAAAGTGGTAACACCCTGAATCGGTCTCACTACAAGCAGAATCAAATCACATCCAAACCATTGCTATGTTGTTTTATGTGTGGACTTGGGTATCATAGATTTGCCAGTTACATTGTGTTAGCCATACCATCTCACAGAATAGCACTTGGCGCCCGTGTGAATACAAGTCATGAAGGTGCGTTGACAACAAAGGCGTGGACCCACTCTAGTATCTCGCCAATGCTGCTAGGGTGTTTCCTTCTCAACGACTGCACAATCGCCTCAAACGGTCAAGCTAACTCCTCTGCCGTGAGGCATGCCAACCCGTGGCCCCGCTCTCCCACTTTGCACCTTCTCTGACACCTAGCTAGGCGCATAGTGTTAGGATTCTGCTCGGAATAGGTACCGTATGGGTAAGGGGGCGGACTACCAGGCATGACTTCTGAGGCGCCTCAAAACTCGGAATAGGTACCGTATGGGTAAGGGGGCAGACTACCAGGCATGACTTCTGAGGCGCCTCAAAACTCGGAATAGGTACCGTATGGGTAAGGGGGCGGACTACCAGGCATGCTGCGTCCATGGCGGAGTGAAACAGCTGACGCCACCCCCCCCTTCTCCCTCCTCCCCAAAAAACAAAGCCAAATGCTCCAAAATCAAAGCTCCCTGACCAGGCCCTCAGATATCAGCGTAAAACACGCTGATTACGCTGATTTTGTAGCTCAGATTTTCGTTTTCCCTGAAAATTCAGCATACGGTATGCTTCAAATTTGCACTGAAATTTCAGTATAAGATACCTTGCCACACTGATCATTTTCCGTGTTGCTGTCCAAGTAGCACTTGTTGGGCTGATACGCCCTGGGATCTTTGTAGAGTTTAAGTCTGAGTAAAGTGATGTAATAGCGGAAGCGTTTGAATAAAGTCCTTGAACCACCTTGCGCTAGTATGTGAGGGCAAAGTAAGTTGATTAAAGCAAAGAGATACAGGAATATATATATGAGTACAGAGAATATGAAGAGACATAATTGTACCGTCTCCCCCCGGATATACCCCCATGGGGGGCAATAATACAACAGGTTTTTTCATGGGGGTGGGCTTATAATCGAGTAAATTTATAAGCGCCGGCGTTTATAAAATGACATACATATTTTTTTATATCTTTTAACACCAAACTGTAGGTCTCGTGCTTGCCTTTTCAATCGAGTCGAAGTTACATGGGATCGTCTGTGAAATTCTCGCGCGCGCTGGGAGATACACCCAATCTGACTCACATCCAGCTCCTGACAGGTCCTGCTGACTGGACCCGCATCCAGTGCAGGGTCCGAATGTGAAGGGAACCGAATCTGCAACATATCCGCCTGCTAAAGTAAAAATCGTTACAGCTTTTTGAACACATTTCAAATTTTA